AACAGGATCCCCAGCGCGCCCGAAGAGAGGAGGGAGGGGGAGGGGGAGGGGGAGAGGAGGAGGAGGAGGAGGAGGAGAGGAGGAGGAGGAGGAGGAAGGAGGAGGAGGAGGAGGGAAGGAGGAGGAGACGAGGAGGAAGACGGAGGAGGAAGACGAGGAGGAAGACGAGGAGGAGGCGGAGGAGGAGGGAGGAGGAGGAGGAGGAGGAGGTGGGAGGAGGAGGCGGAAAAGAGGAGGAGGAGGAGGAGGGAGGAGGGAGGTAGCATGGAGGATAGGAGGAGGAGGAGGAGGAGGAGGAGGAGGAGGAGAGGAACGAGGACGAGGACGAGGCCCAGGAGGGGAAGGTAGTGAGGTAGAGGAGGAGGGGGGAGGAGAGGAGGAGGAGGAGGAGGAGGAGGAGGAGGAGGCGGAGGAGGCGAGGAGGAGGAGGAGGAGGAGGGGGAAAGGAGGGAGGAGGCGGAGGAGGAGGAGGAGAGGAGGAGGAGGAGGAGGAGGAGGAGGAAGACGAGGAAGACGAGGAGGAAGACGAGGAGGAAGACGAGGAGGAAGAGGAGGAGGAGGAGGAGGTGGAGGAGGAGGAGGAGAAAGAGGAGGAGGAGGAGGGAGGAGGGAAGGTAGCAGGATGGAGGAGGAGGGAGGAGGGAGGGAGGAGGAGGAGGAGGAGGAGGAACGAGGACGAGGGACGAGGCCCAGGGAGGAGGAGGGAGGTAGAAGGAGGAGGGGGAGAAGAGGAGGAGGAGGAGGAGAGGAGGCAGGAGGAGGAGGAGGGAGGAGGAGGAGGAGGAGGAGGAGGGAGGAGGGAAAGGAGGAGGAGGAGGCGGAGGAGGAGGAGGAGGGGAGGAGGGGAGGAGGAGGCGGGGCGGAGGCGGAGGGAGGCGGAGGAGCGGAGGCGGAGGAGGAGGGAGGAGGAGGAGGCGGAGCCGAGGCGGAGCGGAGGCGGAGGCGGAGGCGGAGGCGGAGGAGGAGGAGGAGGAGGAGGAGGAGGAGGGGGAGGGGAAAGAGGAGGAGGAGGAGGAGCAGGAGGAGGAGGTTGGCCACGCTGCAGGAGCAGGAGGAGGAGGAGCAGGAGCAGGAGGAGGAGGAGGAGGAGGAGGAGGAGGAGGAGGAGGAGGAGGAGCGAGGGGTGACGTAACAATCTCTCAACGCCAAGCCTCCCAGTACGGACGGTGGTGTGAGTAACTTCGGTTAATGTGTTTGAGGCGCTCTTTCCGTTTCCGTGCCGGCCCAGGTCTAATGGCCGTCGATCCATTCCCCCACCATGCTTGGGTTGTGGGTCTGAAGCCTAGTGAATGTTCGTCGGGTGCTCGGTGGGGGCCTCTCGGGGGCCTCTTGGAGGCAGTTTTGAAGCCACCTGGGGGCCGTTTGAAACATCTTCGGGCCGCTTGTGGGTCTCTTGGGGCCCTTTCAGGGCCTCTTGGGGGCCTCTTGGGGGCCTCTTGGTGGCCTCTTGGGGCCTCTTTGGCGCCTCTTGGGGCTTTCTCGGGCTTCCTTCCTTGGGACAGAAAGCTCGGATATTCGGTTCGTGTTTCCCATCTTGGATTCCTTTTTGGGATCGTCTTGAGATTCTCTTTGGCCGTATTGAGCTCCTCTTGGGCAGTCCTGGGGCGCTCTTAGGCTGTCTTGGGGCCCTCTTGGAGGCCTCTCGGTGGTCTTGGAGGCCTCTTGTGCCGTCTTGGAGCGTCGGAAATCAGAAAAGGAGAGAACGCGAGAATTCTTGAAAGAACCGATTGAACATCAATGTGGTTTGTTCTCTAGGGGGTCTGGGGAGGCCTCTTGGGGCGTCTTGAAGGCCTCTTGGGCCATCTTGACGCCATCTCGGTTGTCTTGGAGCGCTCTTTTGGCGACCCGAAGCCCCCCTGGACACATGGGAGGATTCGGGAGGGTCGTTTTGGGGAAGGGGCACAGCGTCCACGGGAGGCGCAAGACACACCTCGGAACGCACGGGAGCCAGCCCAGAAAACCCTGGTCGGGACACGATTGGTCAGGGCCTGTCAGGACTTTCAGTTCTAGCTGCAGCAGCAGCAGCAGCACGGCGTCTGTCCCTCGGTGCTGCCCGTGCCTTGCGGCACTCCGCTTCGTGCCGGAGGCACGGCGGCGGACATTCTTCCAGGGTCGGGGGTGCCGAACGGAGCGCACGCGGACCCCCGCCAGCAGGCGTCGGTGTCCCTGGGCCTCCCCGAGCCCAGCATGCCGGGCGCTGCGTTGCCTGGGCCTCCCCGCTGGCCTGGAGGGTGGCCCCCAGAGCGGTCGGGGGGCTGACGGTCCTGCGGGACATCCATTCTGTTGCATCTTCGGGGGACCTCGCCTGTCCCAAACATTGGTGTCTTCTTGGGGGGCCCGACGCGTGCTCGATGCGGGCTCGACGGGGATTTGGCGTGGATTCAACGCGGATTCGACACGGATTCGACACGGATCCGACGCGTCCGACATGGATTCGGCACGGATTCGACGCGGACAGGGCCGCGACGGGACAGACAAGGTCCCCCGAGGATGCAACATAACATCCAGGCGGCCCCAGACACCCGCCATACGCCCGAAGACGGCCCAACGATCGCCCCGAAGGAGGCCCTCCAGACGCGAGAGGCATTGATTTTCTGATGGCGTTTGGATATGATGTGCAAGAGCTCGGCTCTTCGGGCTGCAGGCGTCTGAGACCGCCCAAGGGCCCAAGGGTTCCCGAAGATCGCCCCCCCCACATAACGATCCAAATGAGCTCCCAGACAGTCCGAGAGAGCCCTGGGTTGGTCAAACAGTGCCCCAAGATGGCCCGAAGAGCGCCTCATGAAGGTTCAAGATGGCCCCCAAGCCGCCCTCCGACTTGTCGAAATCGAGACCAGGTTGTTGAGAAAGGCAGTGGCTCTCAGCAAGGTGGCCCGAAGGAACCCCCAGAGACCCCAAAAAGACGCCCAGAAGGCTTCCAGAAACCAGAAACCATCAAGAACCCTTCAAAATGATGTTGTCCAAAAGTTGTCCTAGGAGCAGCCTGCGCAAACAAAAGCGCAGGAGGTCGGGGAAGGCTCTACATCGTAGTGTGAGCCAATGATGAAAAATCCCCCCTTTCCTCTTTGTGTTCCACAGTAGGAATGACCACGGATAGGCATTAAAGGCCAAGCATGTGTTTTTATACATCGGTTCACTCACCGCGCCATCTGTGCGTGTCTAATAATTGGAGGAGGGGTAGTGGACCCCTCTTCCTCGTCGCCCTTATCATTCTCTCCTCGTGCCTTTCTTCGAACAGTATTGGATCGTCGCCACCCCGTCGGGCTGGAACCACTTTTTATAGTTTCCGATGCCATGCGTTTCTATTCGTCTGCTCACGTTTATGCGACATTTACGAAGATAAAAAAGACATTCGAGGGAAGGGGGAGGACACATCTCCAACAGCGGCAACCACAAACATCCAACACGGAGTTGTCGTTGTTTTTAGGTATTGTCATTTGTCGCATTCCGCCCGCATGCCGGAATGTAAGGGCCACAGTGCATGGCGCGAAGCGCCAGTGCAGTTTGGCGTAAACACATGTATTTAATCACACTCCGATGTACATATATACATATATATATATATCTATATGTATGTATGTATGTATGCATGTATATGTATGTATATGTATGTATGTGTATGTGTGAATGTGTTTATGTGTATGTGTGTGTGCATTTACATGTGCATGTGTATGAGTATGTGTATGTATGTTTGTATGTATGCATGTATGCATATATGTACGTATGCATGCATGTATGTATGTATATATGTATGCATGTATACGCATGTGTATACATAATTGTGTTTGTGTCGGAGGCCCGGGACATCGAAACGAAACGGAAACCTCCACTTGTGGGACATCGGTTTCAAGTTCGTGTTCTTGTCGTGCGTGCAGGCGGGGTTGAGCTTCGTACGCGGGCGATAGGAGTGATCCCGCCACTGCTAGGGAGGAGTCGAAAGACGAAGGCCCTAGAGGACTACAGGCACCTTGGCAGGCAGCACTTGGCATTCCAGCACGCCTCTACGCTCAAGGGGGCACGATGGCGGACAGTGATGCTGGCCAGCGAGGGCCCCCCAATTGGATGTCTTGCAACTTTTGCGGTGCGATACGCGATCTAGGTGGTGCAATCAATATGGTGCAGTCTAGGTTGTGCAATCAACATTGTGCAATCTATGTGGGCAGTCAAGGTGGTGCAATATTTGTTGTGCACAAGCAATGCAAAGCAGCCCAACGCGATGCGAAGCATCACAAGGCAATGCAAAGCACTGCAAATCACTGCAAAGCAATGCACAGCAATGCAACGCAACGCAATTCTGTCGCAACGCAATGCAGCGCAAGGCAATGCAACATAATGCAAAGTAAAGTAAAGCGGTGGAAAGACATGCAACGCAGCGCAAATCAACGCAATGCCATGCAGCCGAATGTAAAGCCATGCGAAGCAATGCACAGCTGTACAAAGCAAGGTAATGCGTTGCAGAGCAACGCACGCCACTGCAAAAAGGCAGTGCGATGCGATAGCGGTGCTATGCGAAGTAGCGCAGTGCAGTCCGACCGCAGTGCCGCGGGGCGGCGGCAGCCGGCGGGAAGGGGGCCGCTGGGCCTGCAACGGGGCCTCCTGTTTGGACACTGGTGCGGGGACGAACGGGAGACGGGCCGCCTGGGCCGCCAACTGGCCCTGTTCCGTTTCTGAAAGAGGCGCAAGAGCCCCTAAGTGCAAGCACTGTTTGGGCAGTATCGGCAAGTGGGTTGTAAGTTCGATCGGCAGGTCTCGAGGTTCGTTTTATGGATACGGAGATCGATAGACGCATCGTGATTTCGATAGGCAGAGACGGTGCCGATCGACAGATCATGGGATCGATCGATCGATAGTGAGTTGTACGCAGAGATGATGAGGTCGACCGACAGACCAGACCAATAGAGGTTGTTCGATGGATGGAGATGGTCGTCCCGATCGTTCCCTGTCGTTGGTTTCACCCCCAACCTCCTCATCGGCCTTTGGCCGGCGTTGTGGGTGTATATAGTGATGGCTCAAGGTTTGGGCCCAGAGCGGCAAGACAGCCAAGGCGCACAACCCGAAGCGGCCAGGTCGCCCATTTGGTCTCAGGCATGGCGCTCGCGCAGCAGGACCTGCAGAGCCTGCACGAGGGGCTCGTCGCCCTGCGGCAGCAGGTGCTCGCGCTGCAGGCGCAGGCCGCGTCGGGAGGCGGAGCCCACGACGTGGGCGCGCAGAGCAGCGCGGCCTGGGTACTGACCTGCGCGGCCCTGGTGTGCTTCATGCAGGCCGGCTTCTCCCTCGTCGAGTCGGGCACTTGCCGAGCCAAGAACGCGCTCTCCATCCTGGTGAAGAACCAGGTGGACTTTCTCTGCGCTGGACTGGCGTGGTTCCTGCTCGGCTGGGGGGTCGCGTTTGGCGACTCGTCGCCCACGGCAGGGCTGCTGGGAACGACGGAGTATTTCGGCGAGGCGGTTCTGACCAAGACGGGGGTGTCCGACCACGCCCTGAGCTTCCACTTCCAGCAGATGTTTTGCGCAGTGGCCGGCACCATCGTCAGCGGCGGCATCGCCGAGAGGGCCGAGCTGCGGGGCTACGTCCTCTACAGCGTCTGCATGGCATCCTTCATATACCCGTGCATCGCGTGCTGGTGCTGGAACCCCGACGGATGGCTGGCCGCGTGGGGTTTCGTGGATTTTGCTGGCTCATGCGTCGTCCACCTGACCGGAGGTACAGGATCAGAGCCCCGAATCATCAGGGGTATCTCGGGTCAGGGCTAACTCGGGTTCGTTTTTCGGGATTCCGAACCCGACTTACCCCGGACCCGACTTACCCCGGATAATTCGGGCGTCCAGAGCCCCGAATCATCAGGGGTAACTCGGGTCAGGGCTAATTCGGGTTGGTTTTTCGGGATTCCAAACCCGACTTACCCCAGACCCGAGTTACCCCGGATAACTCGGGCGCCCAACAGGAGCGTTGGTCGGGGCTTGGGTGGTCGGTCCACGAACGGGGCGCTTTGGCACGGCCGGGATATCCAGTGGCCTTCGGCCCATCCTGGAATCGTGCCTGGGTTTTGGGTCAGAGGCCTCTGGGATGCCTGTGGGGATGTCTTTGGAGGCCTCTCAGAAGCCTCATTGGAGTTGGGGTGTCTTGGGGGCCTCTCGGGGGTCTCTTGGGGGCCTCGTCGGGCTTGATTTCGAGCTTGCGGGGTGCATCTTGGGGGGCCGCTTGCGGTCTCGGGGCCATCTTGGGGCGAAGAGCTTGAAATGCCGGTTCGCGTTCCCTCTCTGAGGCCTCTCTTGGGCTTCTCTTGAGGCCCCATTGGGCCGTCTTGGAGGCCTCTTGTTCAGTCTTGGGGGCATTTTGGGCCGTCTGGGGACGCTGTTGGGGCCCTCTTGGGCCGTCTTGGAGCGTCGGAAGCCTGAAACGGCAGGTGAGAACAGTATAGCTGGCAACAACCGTACGAACATGCATGATTTTGGCATCTCAGGTCCCTCTTGGGAGGCATCGTCGAGCCCTCTTTGGAGGTCGCGGGGGCCTCTTGGGCCGTCTGCGGGCCATCTTGGACGCCTTGGCGCGATCCTGGGCCCTTCTTTGGGCCCGCTTGTTCCGTCTTGGGACCCTCTGGACTCTTGGCAAATCCATGCGACTGACCCTGGGAGTGCCCGGTAGCCCCAGACGTTCAGGACAAGTGGGCCCCTTTTTTATATCGCATTTGCAGTACCCGATACAGAGAATTCGAAGGAACCTGAGGACACGCCATGGCGCCTCACGGTGGAAGATTAAAAGACAGGCACGAGTTCTCGCCCCACAATGTTCCCTTCATCCTAATTGGCACGATGATCCTCCAACTCGGATGGTACGGGTTCAACGCAGGCTCGATCATGAGCATGGAGACTGTCGCGGACTCACGGGCAGCGACGCTCGCTGCCGTGAACACCACCATGGCTGCCGTGGCAGGAGGGCTCGTCGCTGCCATGACCTCCTTCCTGCGGAAGCGCAGGTGGGACGTGCCCTTCGTTTGCAACGGCGTCTTGGCAGGCTGCGTGTCCATTACCGCCAGCTGCCCCTTCGTGTCTCCCTGGGCAGCCCTCTTGGTCGGCGGTGTCGGCGGCGTCTGCTTTGGCCTGGCCAGCTCTCTGCTCTACCACCTCCACATCGACGACCCTATCGGTGCTTTCCCCGTTCACGGGGCCTGCGGCTTCTGGGGCGCTCTTGCCGTCGGCATCTTCCATCGGAGCAGCGACGTGATGGGTGGGCCAGCACAGGCCCCCGAGTTCTATGTGCAGCTGGTTGGGGCCCTTTCGGTCTGTGCCTTCTCTGGCTTCATGAGCCTTTTCGTCTTCCTGGTCCTAAGGCGAGTCGGCATGTTGAACTCCAGCTTGCGAGATCAGCTCAAAGGCCTTGATCGAAACTTCAGCTTCGAGGCTTACAACTCTGGGGAGGTGAAGAGTTATCACGCCTTCCTCTCCCATGCGAAGAGCACCCATGGCGCCACGGCACGATGGCTTCAGCTTGAGCTCGCGCATTATGCCCGAGGCAGGAGCAGTATTTTTCTCGACTCTGACAACCTCGTCAACCTGAACCATCTTCTCGCCACGGTCCGCGACAAGGTCGACGTCCTCGTCGTGTTGGCGACCCCGGAGATCTGGTGGCGGCCGTGGTGCGCCGGGGAAATAACCGTTGCCAGCTCGGCCGACGTGCCGATCGTGCTCGTCATGATGGGTGCCTCAGGCAAGCCGTTGCATTTGGATTTTCGTGAGATCTCGCAGGACGTCCGTAAGAACATTTCGACCGAGGCCATGGACACCCTGGCGCCCTTCGGCATCGGGTATGGAGATATCGAGATGGCGTACAACAAGCTGGCCACAATGCCACAGGTACAGTTCGGCCTGCTTGGACGCAGGGACATACGCGACGCCATCGCCAGCATCGCCGGCTACGCGGGCCTGCGGCGCCGTGACCCGTGGGCTCGCAGGACGAGGGGCGTGGCAGCCAGAGCAGCAACCTCTCACGCGGAGCTGGGTCGCCGACTGTCGAGGAGCTGGATGCAGCACACCAGCCCGAACTACGTCATCATCGGAGACTGGGGCGACTTAGAGGCCGTGGCGGCCATGCACATCTGCCAGCAGGCCCTTCAGTACGCGAGCGATCAGGACTCCAACTTCCGCATCGCGGCTTGCACGGAGATGTCGGAGGCGAAGGTTCTCGGACTCGTCTGCGCTGGAGCGACGATCATCATGGTGCTCTCGAAGGGCGTGTTGCAGTGCCCGCTGGTTCGGCGCGCCTGCCTTCTGCGCGCCAGTGCGCTCTGGCCTGACGGCTTCGCCGGCTCTTGCAGCGCCAGCCAGAGCTCCTTTGCCGTGACCATCGATGCGGACCGACTGGGCTTCGAGTTCCCGGGCGCCTCCTTCTACGAGGAGCTGCAGGCGGGCAAGCAGGCGGGCAACGGCTTGGAGCTGAGGACCGCGGACCGTGCCAGCGGGTGTCTGCCGATGACCGCCTTCGGGAGCCGGGCGGCGGATTGCCAGCGCGGGGCCGAGTCGCCGTGCGGGGGCGAGGAGCGGGCAGCCGCACTGCTGGCTACGTTCTTCCGGCTCTTGTTCCAGCAGATCGCGCTGCCGATGTCCACGCACGGGTCTTTCTCGGTAGCAACTCGTGGGATCCTGGCATGCCTTCGCAGCTCCGTGTCTAGAGTGCGTTAGCGTGCGCTGGCGTCTAGTAATCGATGGGGAGGCGCCGATTTGCGTCGACCAGCGTCGATGTTGCATCGATTTAGCGTCGATTGGCGTCGATTCGCAGGAGCCGGCAAGATGGTAGGGGATGCTTCCATGAGTTGCCACTGAAGGTCCTGGAAGGCGATCCAGCAGCAAAGCTTCTCGATTTACGAGGCGGCCATGCGGACGCCACGCGTCCCGGTCGACCCCCAGGAGTATCCCAGGGCCGAGTCGAGCCTCGGCAGAGGCAAGATGAAGACGCTGCTGCAGTCCAGGAGCTCGCTGTCCACTCTTTCCGGAGGGACCCTGAGGGCAACCTGCAGCAGCATCGGCGAGGCGCCCGCCTCCGCGAGCCTCCCCGCCGCCAGCCTCTGCAGCTCCAGCGGCGAGGGGCCGACCGGCAGCGGGGCCGAGGCCGATGTGGAGGACGAGCCCAACGCCTGGGGCGCCGAGGGCGCGTGCGCGTGACCGCCGCGGCAGCAGCCCGATCGCCAGGAGGCCGTTTTGACATCCCCCGGTAACAGGCGCGACGAGGGGAGAGGGAGTGGGCTGGTCGTGTCACGATGCGCGCCAGCCTCCGTCTGGGAATGCCCAAGGATGGCCAGTGCCCAGGCGGCGCCGGCGCGGGCTTTGCTGTGGCCGGGGGGGGGGGCGGGGGTTGGCGGGCATAGCGGGACCCCGCGTTTTGAATGAGATCTTGAGAAGGTGCAAGGTGGAAGAAGGCCCTGTTGCTTCTGAGCTTTTTCTGATCTCCTGGGGGTCGGTTGCACGCAGATGTATAGATTCTCCTTCGGGCGAGGGGTTCTGCGTACCATTTGTGCTGTTTCTGGGCGGGGGGGGGAGGAAGCCAAGAACAAAACACATGGCCCCCTATATCCACACGCGTCGTTGTTTACCAGCCCATCGAATAGCGAGCGTTTTATTCCCCGCTCCGGCGTAACGCTCGCTGCCCGGGCCAACCCTCCCCCCCCCCTGGGTAGCGCTAACGATCGTGCCGCGGGGAAGGAGGGGCCTGCCCCCTCCCCCTAGATGCTGGGAGCGGACCCCCCGCAGGTATGGTGCTGTGCTCACAGGCACGACGTGGTCTGAGCCGCACGCACAGGTGCTCACAAACGTGTTGTGGCGCTCGCAATCGTCGTCGTCGTCGTCGTCGCCGTCGCCGTCGCCGTCACCGTCGCCGTCGCCGTCGCCGTCGTCGTCGTCGTCGTTGTCGTCGTCGTCGTCGTCGTCGTCGTGGTGGTGGTCGTCGTCGTCGTCGTCGGTCGTCGTTGTCGATGTCGTCCAATGCAGCTGGCGATGGCCCAGCTGTCGCAGGCTGGTTCGACCACTCTTCCACAAATACAGAATGCGGTGGCTCTCTCTCTTCCTCTTGGCCGGTGCTCGGTTCCAGTGCGATGCAGTCAACGCGCCTAATAAGGACGCGCGCCTTCTCCAGGGTACCCTTATGTCCTTGCCTGTGCGGCCTGTCCTTTCCCTTTTTCATTGGGCAGCTTTTGCAACACAAATCAAACTTCGGCTTCCAAGGGTTCTGGCGTCCTTGCCACCCCTCCGTAATGCACGTGTCGATTGTAGACCCAGTGCCATGGAGAAGATGAGAATTCGGCGGCCCCGCGCCTTCTCCCGCGGACGCTGTGGTGTGCGCGGGCGCTGCGGTTCACGCAGGCAGCGTGGCGCACACTGGCGCTGCGTTGCACACGGCTGCTGCGGCGTACACAGGCGCTGTGGTGTGCGCAAGCGTTGCGGTGCACGCAGGCACCGACGCTGTGTTGCACGCGGCTGCTGTGGTGTACACAGGCGTTGTGGTGTACACAGGCATTGTGGTGCACGCGTGTAGAATCCTCGAGCGCTCCAATTTCTATGTTTTTTGTAAACAAAAAACAAAGTTTGTATAACATGTTTATTTCTGTGGAATCCAGAGGCGCCCCAAGTTCCAAAGGGATTTCTTTATCAAACAATTGTGGAATTCAGAGGCGCTCCGCTTTCCATAGCGATTCCATTTCAAATTCTATACAAAAATGGGGTTCAATGGAATCCAGAGACGCTCCATTTCCCATGGGGGGGTTCTATAATCATCCTATTCTAAACAATGGTTGTCTGTAGATTCTTATTCTACACAAGCGCTGCTGCAGTATAGACTGGCGCTGCGGAGTGCAAGGGCGACGTGGTGCTGCAGTGCACGCGGCTGTTGCGGTGTACGGGGGCACTGTGATGTGTACATACGTGGCGCTGTGTTGCACGCAGGCTTTGGGCATTGCCGTATACACAGGCGATTGATGAGCCGGTGGCGCGGACCCACCCGGGCGAGCGCACTGCACGGCCGCCGTTACCGTTACTCTCGCCCGCCCTTCGCCCCCCCCGGGTAGCGGCCGTTACCAGGGAAACAAGAAAACCGATCACATAGAGCACTGCTCGTGCGTTTCCATTCTTTTCCCTCCTCCTCCCCCCCTCCTCCTTCATCGCCTCCTAAGCTACCTCCTCCTCCTCCTCCTCCTCCGCGTGTCTCCTCCTGCATCTTGTGCGCTCCGTCAGGGGCTGCGAATCGCGCAACTGTCGCCGCTTTCGTGGGCTCCTGGGAGGTCCAGCGGAGTGGAGTGACACGCGTACCCAGCCGAGGCATCGCGGATTCCCGGGGGGGCTGCGCGCCGCTGCGCAACCGTTGCCGCTCTCGTGGGCTCTGGGGAGGTCCAGCGGAGTGATGTGCCACGTGCACCCAGCAGAGACCTCGCGGCTCCTTCGGGGGGCTGCGCACTGCGCCACTGTCGTCGCCTTGTCGTTGGCCGCCCCCGGAGCACCCTCGGGAGCCGCAGGGCCTCGGCTGGATCTGCGCGTGCCCCCCTCCGCGGGCCGGCCTCCGAGGAGCCCGCGGAAGTGGCGACGTCTGCGCGCCGCGCAGCCCCCCAGAGAGCCATGAGGTCTGGGCTGGAAAACCCAGTCCCCCCCTTTAGAAATCGTGGGGTGGTGGGGTAGGGTTCGCACGTGTCTTCTCACCCCCCACCCTGGTGGGCCTCCCAGGAGCCCACGAACGCTGCGACAGCTGCCAGCTTCGCAAGACACCCAGGGAGCCGCGAGGTCTCGACGGGGCGTGCGGGACTACTGTCTTCGCCGAGCCTCCCAGGAACCCACGAACGTGGCGACAGTTGCGCACCTCGCAGCCTCCCATGGAGCCGCGAGGCTTTGGCTGGATCTGCGTACTCCCACATTCCCTTGGAGTTCCCAGGAACCTGGGAAAATGCCGGCAGTTGCACAGATCGCAGCCCTCGGCCCTCCAGGAAGCCGCGAGAGGTTTGAAGAGCAGGAAGGACGAGGAGGAGGAGGAGGAGGAGGAGGAGGAGGAGGAGGAGGAGGAGTACGAGGAGGACGAGGACAAGTTGGAGGACAGTGGCGGGGACAGTGGGGACAGTGGGGAGAGTGGGACCGCGGTGGGGACAGTGGTGGGGACAGTGGGGACAGTGCGACAGTGGTGGTGGCACTGGTGGGGACAGTGGGGACAGTGGTGGGAAGAGTGGGGACAGTGGGACAGTGGTGGGGACACTGGGGACAGTGGAACAGTGGTGGGGACGGTGGTGGTGGGGACCGTGGTGAGGGGAAAGTGGGACAGTGGTGGGGAGAGTGGTGGGGACAGTGGGACAGTGGTGGGGACTGTGGTGGTGGGGACAGTGGTGAGGGCTGTGGTGAGGACGGTGGTGGGACAGTGGGACACTGGTACAGTCGGGAGAGTCGGGACAGTGGTGGGGACGGCGGGGACAGTGGGAAAGTGGTGGGGAAAGTGGGGACAGTGGGACTATGGGGACTGGGGATAGTGGGACAGCAGAGTGGGACAACGGCGGGGACAGTGGTGACAGTGGGACAGTGGTGGGGACAGTGGGGAGAGTGGGACCGTGGTGGGTTCAGCGGTGGTGACAGTGGGGACAGTGCGACAGTGGTAGGGGCACTGGTGGGGACTGGCGGGAATAGTGGGGACAGTGGTGGAGACAGTGGGACAGTGGTGGGGACGGTGGTGGTGGGGACAGTGGGACAGTGGTGGGGACAGTGGGACAGAGGTGGGCACGGTGGTGGTGGGGACAGTGGTGAGGGCGGTGGTGAAGACGGTGGTGGGACAATTGGACAGTTGTACAGTGGGGAGAGTGGTGGGGACAGTGGGGACAGTGGTACAGGGGTGGGAACAGTGGGGACAGTGGGACAGCACAGTGGGACGGTGGTGGGGACAGTGGGACAGTGGTGGGGACAGTGTGGACAGTGGGACAGTAGGACAGTGCTGGGGACAGTGGGGACTGGGGAGAGTGGGACCGTGGTCGGGACTTGGGACAGTGCGACAGTGGTGGGGGCACTGGTGGGGACAGTGGGGACTGGTGGGAACAGTGGGGTGTTGGTGGGGACAGTGGTGAGGGCGGTGGGTGGTGAGGACGGTGGTGGGGACCCGGGAGGTTTTTGCCGGCGACGCCCGACCATTGGATATTGGAATCTTCCAGTCGCCACCAACGAGATCGGTCGCTACCGATTTTGCTTCAAATTTCGGTATTCGTCGTGACCGACTTGCTTCAACATCGCGATCGGTCGCGCGACCGATCGGCCGCGATTGGTGGCGACGTGCTGCGACCGATTTTGGGGTCGGTCGCGATCGGTCGCGACCGATTTGGAATGCCGATCGGTCGCTAACGATCGCGACCGAACAAAAATCGGTATCCAATGATCTGGGTGAGGGGGGTGGGGGGGGTCGAACCAGTAGTGACTCCCCCCGGTTTTCGGGGGGGGTCGAACGGTAGTGACCCTTTCGGTTTTCTGGAGGGGGCTGGGCCGGGGGGGGGGCCGGGGGATGGGGGGGGAGGGGTTCGACCAGGGGGGGGGGATTTTCCACTCCACAGCAAAGCGGCGGTGGATCACGCTCTATCAGGTAAAAAGGATGGGTACTATGGACTCCTTACTGCATTATTTTTCCTGACGATCCCATACTAGAGGCGTTATTGCGAGTAAGTCAGTATTAAACTCATGCTATCGAATACTTACTATAGAGACTTTTGCAGAGGTAATCCTTGCTACAGGCAACTTCACTATGGACTCTGTACGAAGAGGGATCCCAAGGACTTCATCATAGAGGGATCCTTAGCAGAATTCCTTCGTTGAAAGGCTCATTACCCAGTATTTCTTACTGGAGAAATCCTTGCTGAGGATGGCATACTGAAGGTATCCTTCCGAAGAAACCCTTCCTGAAGAGACCCTGAATCTACGAAAAACATTGATGAGGACTCCTCCGTAAATGAATTCTCATTCAGGGTTTCGAGATTCAATGTATCCTAGGTGAGGAGTCTGTCCTCCAGAAATAAATCCTCAGCCACGATCCCCTGATACAAGATATCCTTAGTAAGGAGTCCGTGTTCAAGGTATTCTTGTCGAGCAACCCGTATTGTAGACATGCTTGCAAAGGATTCGTTATTGAAGGGATTTGTATTCAGGATTGCTTGCTACAGGAATCCTTACTCAGGGTATCCTTACTTCATACACCCTTCCTACGCATGTCTTAGAGCAGGAATCCCCAATGAGGTCTCCTCAATAAAGGCGCCCTCACTAAAAGCTTCTCACGAAAGGGGCCTTTACTCAGTATCCCTTACCAGAGGAATCGAGCATCGTCGATGCCATCATCATGTTGATCATCTTCTCCCCCCCGTGCCATTTCTCGTCGGCGGACCCGGGGGGGAAGTGAGAAGGGGCGGGCTTTCTCAGAAGGCTCCGAAGTCCCCCGGCCTTCTGAGAAGCTTTCTAAGCCTTCCCCGAAGACACCGAACACCTCTCGGGAGGCCGAGACGCTTCTGAGAAGCCCCGCCGCCTGCTGAGGAGGCCTTCTCCTTCTCACTTTCCCCCCTCCTCTCAGCCACGCGGAGAAGTGGTTTTGGGGAGGGGGAACGGCTTCTTAGAAGCACTCCTGGTTCTTGGAAGGTGCGGGCCTTGTCTGTGGATGTAAGGCCGGCGCCTTCTAAGAAGCAGCCTCCTGAGAAGCCCTCCCTCCTCCTCGCTCCTCCTCCTCCTCCTCCTCCTCCTCCTCCTCCTCATCCTCCTCCTCTTCGCTCCTC